TCAAAGCATGCACACAACTCAAGTAAAGCATGCTAGATACTTTGAAACTCAAAACTAGTAAGCAAGATTGCACTATGGCTATACAAAGCAAGTTCCAAATGATCAAGACCACCCAAAACAGAGCTAAGGCATGTCAAAATATGAGTAAAAGCCTGCTGGAATGGAGCCAAAATAGGCTAGCATGATAGATCAAAGCATTGAGCACACAAGGCTAAATGGCAAGATTACACTACAAGTGTAAAAAGCATGCATGAGGTGACTCAACTAGGCTAAAACAGTGTTATGGCAGGTCCAAAAAGTCACTAAAACAAGCTTAAGCAAAGCCACAAAGGAGTATAAACACATGCTCATTTGGTGAGCCATCAACACATGCATACAAGACAAGAGGAGAGGGGACCACCCCCTCCCATTTTGGGTCTCAAAACCCACTTTCCACCACTGAAATTCCCCTAGAATTTAGTGGTGAAAAGGCCAAACAAATATGAACTCAAAGGCCTTAAAGGATGGCTCCAAGCCTAAGCAAATAAGGCACACAAGAAGGTAGAACACCCTCAATACCAAAGAGGCCTCAAACAACCATCTAAAACACTTGAAAACAAAGCTTTTTATAGTTGAAAGCAAGGCCTAAAACAATATGCAAGGATGGCCAAATAAGCAATGAAAATAAAGCTTTAAAGAGGATATGAGACTCACCCTTGAAGCACAACAATAACAGCAAGTTTTTGAGACAAAACCAAGCTAAAACCACTCAAATACAACCTCCAAGAACCTCAGCTCAAGAGTGAAGGTGTTTAACTAGGTGTTGTAGTGCAAAAGTGAAGAGAAAATACACTTTAAGGCACAAACTAGTACAAATATATATATATATAGAGAGAGAGAGAGAGAAAGATAGAGAGAGAGGGATATGTTTAGCCCTAAAATTGCTGAACCTCTAGAAAGGGGGAGGAGCCTCCCCTTATATAGAGCAATGCCATGCAAAGCTTGCTTGACAAGCTTGAAATGGCCTTCATCTCTCCATAATGGAGGATGGCTCAGTGAAAAACAGCTGGCTCAAAAGATCTAACATAATATCTGCTGAAACAAGGTGTCCTGCCGGCCATCAATGGTGGCCGACAGTGCCTCATTGATGGCCGGCAAGCCTTATCAATGGCCGGCAGGTCTAAATGCATGGCCGGCAGTGCACCACAAGAAGTATGCTGAAAGGACCAACATATGGTCCAAAAATAGAGCAGAAAGGATAAAGGGTTTGGAAAGCTCAAACCTGTGACGTTTCGCTGCGAAATTCGAGTACTCGACGAGCAATCAAACTTGTCATTGGATGTACCTGCAAGCATATTCAAGTCTTGAGGACAATCAAAAAGGGGGTGTCTACATAAATCCTCTTGTCCATTCCTTTGTACAGTGATACCTTGTAGGGGTGGAAGGTTAAGCTAATGCTTTTAATGACCTAAGTGATATGAATAATCAACCGTGATATAATGAGATACCTTATATAGATCACCTATGTGAGTGCAAAGTGGGGCCGCTTCTTTAAGAATTGGTAAAGCTGGATTCTTCAAAAACATTCATTGAACCAGGCTAGTGTTCCAGGGCCATACCAAACATGCCAGTGAGAATAAGAACAATGGTTAGACTAACTCCTGTATGAGGTCTATTGTCTCGATTTACACAAACGGTAGAATAGTTAAAGACATAACGTTCACTGTCCAGCTAATAAATCTGATAGGCTTTCACTAGGAAAGGTTCAAGGCCAACAGTTACATTTTCTGATGCAGGGTTAGTCTGTGTGCTCTCTCTCTGAATCTTTGTTGTAAACGTTGTCCGTTTTCTTTATTCGGTCAATTTTCATTCACGTGGGGGATTTGTTAAAAAAAATGGTTTTATGCTACTTTAATGTGAAATTTAAAACCAATGGTTGAGATGTGATTAAATGAATATATATTTTTTATGACAAGATTTTTACACCACAAAAAAAAAATGACTAAAAACCATTAAGAATTGAATGAAAAATCATCTCATAAAGTTGGCTTCATGAATGAGATATTGGGAATTGTATATAACTACCAATCCCACACTGATTGTGGAGGAAAATTTTGATAGGTATTTAAATCTCAAGATTTTGATAAGGGTATGAGCCCTTTGGAACATTCAAATTTTTTGAAGGAAGAGAGTTATGGATGCTTCGAGGATGAGCTTGTGCCAAAACTATGATCTAAGTTGGTTATGCAAAAATTGCCGCACGTACGCGCTCGCCGCCCGCCTACCCAGTTCGGACCGAGTCCGTGATCCGTGGGTCGTGGATCTTGGGACTTGGGCTTGAGCCTTGCTGATTTGGGCTGGGCCAAATTGGTGGCCCATCAACCTAATCTTTTTAGGCCAATTTTGTTTGGTGCTTGTAAATATACACATATGTGTATATAGAGTATATAACTCACACATTTACTCTCCATCAGTTTTGTGCATTACTCCATCAGTTTTGTAGAAGTAATAGATGCATTTGGTGCCAGCTTTCATGGCCGGGAGGCTCCTTCTCTGTCCCCCCATTGTGTATAAAATGAGGCTATCTTCCTTGATTTCAACACATAATTTTTTGGCTTCCATACTATACATAATTTTTGCTCTTATATTTATCTTCCAATGTGAGAGAGTACTGCCATTATATGTGCATCGGAGCTAAACAGAAGATGTTTCTGCGTTAGTGGGTCTAGACCATCGTATATTAGGAGACATATGCCGATTTACCTCTAGCACCCACGGTGAGGAGGCGAATCTGTTTTAAGAAAACTGTGGTATCACACAGGCTTCGATTTGCTTTTATTTCCTTAAGTTTTATTGTATTATGTATTTCTGTTCAATCTAGTTGTAATTTTTCATAATTTCATGTTCTATATTGTAATTTATTAAATATGAACTTGTTTGTTTATTTTATTTAAATACACAACTTTTGTAACACAATTGACTTCACTTGGAGCATGTCTAATAGTTGAATCAGATGACTTGTTAAAGCCAAAAAAAAAAAAAAAAGAAAGTAGAAAACTTATACAAAAAAAAAAAAAAAGTTTGATTTTACAAAAACATTATTTTAATGGTGAGTCAAAACCACTGTCAAAAATTTGGCAAACCCAAATTTGAAGTCAAATTTGATTCAAAATTTGGGCAAAATTATTTTGTTACCCTATCAGATTTTTCACAACACTCACAAATTAAAATTCTACCAAAATTTCTAAACCTATAGAAAATTTACAAATTACAAAAACTCAATAATATTAAATTTTATAAATATAATTGCATAAGTTAATTATTTACAATTTATCATTTCAAGACCTACAATGCATATCTTGTTAGTATTTAACTTTAATTTATTGCATCTACCACTTCACAATGGTTAGAAAATTTAAAAGTTAATTAGATTTAGCACTTAGTTGTATCAAAATGTCAAGTTGACATTGGAGTATTGTAGGCAAAACTATTTATTTATTTATTTATTTTTGTACTATAACAAGTTAAAAAATAATTTTAACTTGAATCATTACAGATGTTGATGGGTTATTTTTGGACAGTGATTGAAAGTTCTAGGTATAGAGTTCTAAACGAAGCTCTATACATGTAGCATTGAAAAAAAAAAATGTCGAAACATTACATTAATGGATGGACTTCACCTATTAGAGGTTCTTTAGAACTCTCAAATATTTTTGTTTATTTTTTTCTAATTATAGAGTTAAATTTAAGTTTAGTGATTAATTATTAGACTTGGTGATTGCTGACTAATTGTTAAATAAAACACCGAATAATAATTAGAGGAAGAAAGTGTTTAAGAAGTTCCTATCAAAGTTTGAAAGGGAAGTGAGAGAGAGGAGTAATAAAGCTCTCGAATTTCACTACAGTGTTGAGGATTTTTATGTCTCTTCAAATGACGTGGACAAATAATATGTTTTTATTATTTTATTTTGAATAAATTATAAATATATCTTTTGAAGTTTGTTTAAAATATATATTATTTTTTGTAGTTTAAAAAATTATAAATATTTCATTGTTAGTATTTTTTATTTAACAAAATTAACTAAAAAAAATAAAATTCATAATTGCTCTCCTATACAATAATAAAATTACTTAAATTATTAATTGAAATATATTTCTAATATCATTAAAAATTGTTAATTGACTTGATATTAATAAAATGGACAATTTGTTATGAAATTAAAAATCGCAAGGGATGGAATCTAATTTCCAAAACTACAGAAAGTGATTCGTAGTTTAATCAAATCTCACGAATGCATTTGTAATTTAATATTTTGTTTTTGTTTAGTTTTTTTTTTTTGACTAATCACGAATAAATGTGAATTGTAAAATTGTGTTTTTTAGGATTGTGTAACATTTTTGTTTTTTTAGTTTAGTAGAGCATCCGCATCAGACTCTCTATAATAACTTTGAAGCTATTGTAGAGAGCATTAGCATCAAATCCTTCCTCCATCAGTTTCAACAAATTTTTTGTAAATTAATTTTTTGTTGAATTTGCTATAGTACCTCAACAAAAATAAAGAGGCACTGTTCATTAGCTACATTATTTTTTATTATATTTTCTGGAATAAAACTAGGCAAAAATCTTTAAACCGATCATTTACTTGGATATCCTACCGGATGTCCGTGAGTGTCTGTAACAGAAAAAGAAAAATATTCAAAATTAGCCTAACTGGTCGACCGGTTTCATACAGATTCCCCCCTAATTTTTCTTAATTTGTTATGAAAATTTGACCATCAGGGGGCAATTTGTAATTTTTCAAACCTCAGGGGGGAATTTATATTTTTACCAAACCTCGAGGGCGGTGTTTGTAATTTGCCCAAGTTAAAATAGAAAGTTGGATGTGAATATTAAAAAGATAACAAATTAAAATAGAAAAAGTGAATTTTGATTGAAATTTGAGTAAAAATTTTAAGAGGCCGACGCGGATGCTCAAATAATTGGTTTGTTGTCCACCACCGTTTAACGTATAAGTAGAGAAATACATGATAAGTAGACCATATTGGTGAAGTTAGGGTTTGCGTGGGTGTTTGGATGGCGAATCAGCTGTACGGCTACAATCACCATAGCAGCAGCTACGGAGGAGCGTCGAACCTGTCAAGCCTGTATTCATCAAGATCCGTGGGCGATAGTTTCTTGTCGGCAGACTCGTCCTTGCGCGGCTCTTCCCGATACGTCGGCGGCGCAGATCCGCTGGGAGGATCAGCATCCATGCTATTCAGTCAAAGCGATGCCCACAGGTTCTCCGCCTCTGATTACTCGGCCGCCAGAGTTTCTACGTCCGCATCCTCTCACTTGGCTTCGCAGTTGTCATGGCCCGGTGTCGACATTGGAGCTGCTTCTGCTGTAGACCCTTATGGGGCCATCAAGCGCCCTTCTGATTGTAAGCCTTTTCCTCTTCCTCTTCCTCTTCCTTTTCTATTATCCTCTCCTAGTTTAATCATACATTTCTTTCTATATACTTTGTGCGACCCATGCCCAAAAAATTCACACATATCCTTGTGAAAAAACATTAAGATCACAAAGTAGCATACGAATTCTAGACAGCTCGGGATTTGTTCTCAACTTCAAGCCCCCCCCCTCCCACAAGCACAGGTAGAGTAGAAGCTGATAAGTTGAAATCAATCAATGTGAAATGAGTAGGATTCTCTTCAGTTCTCTTCAGAAATGGAGAATTACATACAAGTTTGCGAGAGAGAGAGGACTATAGAAGATGTTTTTTTTTTTCTTTCATTGATTGAATATTTATTTATGATGAGGAAGCTCCCCAAGGTAAAAACCCTTTGGATCTACTCCTGCAGAGTAAAAACCCTTACAAACTACATGTATTGATTAAGCCAGGTGATGCTAGTGAGAGTAAAACCAACACCTCTGAGTTTACAGCTCGTCCCAAAACTCGTCTCCTTAACTGCTGGGCTACTCGTGCAAGTTAACCACGATATACATATATATACACACACACTCAATTACTATGTCTGACTATTTCTATTGACTAACTTTCTGATCTTGCATAGCTAGCAGTCGGTAGTTCTTTTTGGTAATTAGTTACATTTCTTGATATCTAAGTCCCAATCTGGATTAATCTTTGAATGGAGATGGAACTAACTCAATATGACTGCGATGCCTATCTCAAGAAGCCGATGGCTTCTTAATTGGCTGCTTAATGCATTGCTTTAGGAGCATATCATCTTCTTTCAATTTTATCCCTCTTTTGTTATCTCGAATAATAAACTTAAGAACATGAAAATGCTTGAATTTGCGTTTGGTCCTGGACATCATCAATATAATAAAAAAATCACTAAGTGGTTACTTACTCTCTTTAAAACTTGTATTTTCAAGTGGGTGATGACTACACTATTGTTCAACCCATTTGTTTCTTGTCATTTATCAGTTATCATTTGTGAAAGACCAATGGCACTTTCGATATGGAAAAATTAGGACCTTGGGTTGGGGTGCTTCCATACAATTAGCTGTGTGTTGGATCATCCGAATTGTAAATACCACCAAATCTTGTGAAGTAGTTGGTTCCTTATGGTGATTGAAAGAGTAGATGAAGAGATGTTGTAACTTGTAAGGAGAACAAGAGTGGAATGTGCCACCTTCTATTCTGAGATTGCTTGACTGGTAACTTGGTGGACAGATGAACTGGTACTGTTATTAATTTTGCTTTAAACATATAATACGCATGTTGTAGAATGTCCTTCTTGTGCATTGCACATGAAGATGATGGCATAATATATCATACTATGGAATAACTTAAGGATACGCATCATGAACTTTAATACCATGAATGCAAATTCTTTATGTCAACCCAATATGTTTGGAATCTAAGTTGAAAAGAGCCTACAGTTTATCACATTTTCAAATTTTGAATTTAGTTTGAGTTGCATGCTGCAGCATTGTGGGGGAAATATTTGTGACATCAATTGCAATCTGGCTAAGAACTCAAAATGAAAATTTTGTACTACGTTGCTAGATTAGTTTTTTTCATGAGAATAATTTATAATTCACATTTTTGTACAACCAGTGACACTGCAGATGCAAAGTAGTGGGAGAAGTGGGAAATTGGATTACTTTTGAATTTGGTTTTTTAGGTTTTTGCCCAAGTAGCTATTGATGGGAATAGTTTGAAAATATGTTTTATTTGGATAATTTTTGTATTAGAATTTGAGTTACACAGCATCACTTTTGTGTTCGTACCAACTGAGGTGTTCACTTTATAGTACAATATAGGTAGTATAGATTATCCATGGTCTGACTCCTGCATGAACTTACATACTGCGGTAGTACTTAGCCTGCTCCTGTCAAGGTTGCCCACCTCTAGCTTTCAAGGCTAGTTTTAGATAACCAGGTGTGCTTTCTGTACTCCCCTAGGCTTCAATTTGAAAGAATTCGTGTGATCCTTTCACCAATGAGCATGGCATGGATGGTAATGTCACTAAACCTCTCGGTGGTCAACCATTACAAGCATTGATAATGTTAAGTTGTGTTATTGCTTCAATGTGAGGTGTATATAAGAAATATGGTTACACAATGGTAAACTGGTTCCTTTAAAACTTTGTGAATGTCTTGTAAGAATGATTACTAGATTCACCATATTTTAAAGCAGTGGATGATATACGAATGATTATATATTCAAATACATCTGCCTTGCAAATTAATATATTTTTATGATACTATGATTCGGTTTATTTATTTGCTCTAGGAATCTATTTTCTTAGTGTTGATATTCTTTTTATAGGTAAATTTCATTAGGGTATGCCAATGTCATTTATTTAATTAACCCTGTAAAGTTAATTTGATTATTTTTATTTATTAATTTCATTTATCTAATCAAGTATATAAAACTGTTAGTTATTGAGCTTGTACTGTGTGATGTCTAATCTACATTTAGTGTAAAATATGGTTGTTGCAGTATTCACTGTATTCGTACGTTTCTTGAAATTTTGCTCCAAAAAGTATTTATGGTTATACATATATAATAACATATATGTTTTCTTGTTTATACGTGTCTACTATCTATCATAGCACTCTATCATCAGACTCTTCTGGGTGCCCATAACACAATTGGGCAAAGTGAAGCTTGGTTTTCTACCAACCCTTTAGCCAAGCGCCCTAGATTCGAGAGTGCAAGCAATTTGCCTATTTATCCACAGAGGCCAGGAGAGAAGGACTGTGCCCATTATATGCTCACAAGAACCTGTAAGTTTGGAGATAGCTGCAAGTTTGACCATCCTATTTGGGTTCCTGAAGGTGGAATCCCAGATTGGAAAGAGGTGACCATTTTTTGCTATTGTTTTCTATATTATAATGATAACTTATCAAATTACATATGGGCATTATTTGTAATTTTATATCTTTCTTAAATTCTATGTTCCAATGGATTTATATTACGGGAATTGATGTTATTGTATGGGCTATGTGTTCCCACTAATTTCTATAATTGCTTGTTTGGAGGTGTAAATAGTTTTGTAAATGCTAACTTCACTTATCCTTCTAGTTTATCAGTATTTTTAGGATTTACGTTTTAGTAGTTCTTATACACTAATATCTGTATCTTTAGGTTTCTCTGATTTATCTACAACCTACTTGATTTGTGTGATACCCTGATATGGAGGACAAGCAACCAACAAGGCTGGTATGGCTGCATAATTATTAACCTGATAGTCTCATCAGGAGTATAGTTATTGAAGTGTATAGGCATTTTTTTTTTGAGGCTACGCTAGTTTAACCTTGATTTTTTTGTACTTGGTTTCGGCTCCCTTTTTACTCACTTTTATCAAAATTTATGTTACTTGTCCCAAAAAAAAATGTCTAATTGGTCATAAAATTTATTTTCAATTCTTGATATCTTGGATGTGTGATACATATATTTTGATGGTTTCACCTAAAGGATTTACTTATTTATTAATTTGTTTCCTTAATTAGATGTATTTATACCCTGCTTTATTTAAATCTATCTGATATGACTGTTTTACATTGGAAAACACAATTTATTAAGCAAAAAGAAAACAATATGTGTTCATGGCATGTTCCCATACACATGGCCAACTTTTGGATATATATATCCTAATATCAAGATTTAGGTTTAGAAAGGTCTGATGCTTGGTCACACACCTGCACCCAATACTCATACTCATGTCTATGTCACATCGGCTACCATAATAGTTTTTGCAAATCTAAGTACAAATTTTGTTATAATAAGTTGCTAAAATCTATTTTGACGTGTCATGTGATTTTTATGTTTTTATCTTTACTTGTAAAAGTAATGTTCTTTTAGGGGTGAGCTATCATTTGCCACAACCATACATTTCCCCCCCGGGGGGGGATGGGGGGGGGGTGGTGTTGAATGAAACTGTTGAATTTTGACCGTGGCATAAAACACTTCAAATTATTATGACATAAAATACATAAAACTCTAAAAAGAGGACATAGAAAGTCTAGAATTTTATGTAACAGATGAACCCATCTGTTGGTCAACTGTTAGTTGACCAAACAGAATTTGCTAATATCACTAAAAAAATTACCATTTAATACCTAATTTACCCTTGTTAGAAAATCTATCATCTTCTGTCTTTATTCTCTCTCTCCACGCATTGCCAAACTTTATCTCCAACAACTCAACCAAACAAATCTATTCACACACAGTAACCCATTGCCTCCCCTGGCCAACTCTCTTCCATACCTCCCTCATGTTCCCCTACCTTAAGCACCACCACCGTCCACTGCCCCAAGCATCACCATCATCGTTCTCTTTTCCCCTCCCTATCTCCACTCTGTTGCCCTTCCTCCTCCCCCTTTCTTCCATCCACTGCCCAGATCCACGCATGCAGCCCAAGCTCCCAATCTCCTTCGTCCAGTTCAACGTCCCCCCTCCATCAACGCAGCCGAGCACCCTCTGTCGATTTCCTTATTTGAACCTCCACGGCCATCTGCAACAACAGCAACTCCAAAAATCCATTAGAAATTAAATTTACCATGATGGTTGGTGAGAGAAAGAAAATAGAAACACAGAGAAGTGATAGGGTAGTGCAGAGCACAATGGTTTTTCAGAAGTTTATCTATCTATATATAGATATATATATATATACATATAAAGAAACTGTTATGTACATACTCATAGGACTAAAGATTTAAATACAAATTATTGATCTCTTTCTCTCTCACACTAACATAAACCCAAAAATAGAGACCCCAAAGTGGTTTCATTCTTTGCACAACTGTTGCAGACCACGGTCGTTACAAATTACTTGTGGTTGCGGAGCAAAATCTACTCACATTGCAATTGTATAGATTAGGAATACAAAATACATATTTATGTACACGGGTATGTATATCCTACTCATATAGATACATATATGTATATGTATATACAATTTACATATATATATATATATGTATGTATTTATAATGTAATTGCAGTGGGTGTTGGTTTCATGGCAGATCATTTGTGGGTGACAATGTGGCGTTGGAGCAATAGTGATAATTGGGATTATGGAGTTGGTAGTTAGGGATGACAATGGGTTGACTGATTGGGGTTGTGAAATGGAAGAGATTATTGGGGTGGTTTTTGAGATGATGTCTGATGGTTCTCCGTTTCCCTCTATTGATTTACTTGTGTAATGAAGTAAGGGTAACATAGGAATTTTATTATAACAAGAAACAAAGTTAATTGACAAGGGATGTCAGTGTGATTTCAAAGAGTAGAGGGGGTGTTAATGTAATTTACCCAAAAATCTATTGTGACAAGCCCAAAATGCCTTAGGGGAGCACAGAAGGCTTGGAGTACATTTATTTAGATGGCAACATAATGATGTGCAACCTAAAGGAATGTGCATGTTCAAAAGAAAAAACAAACCTAAGGAATGTGCCATTGTGCGCTGAACCCTGTGAAACGTTGATCAAAAGGTTCTTGCACCTAATGATTGGCTGGAACATTATAATGTAGGAACCTGTGAACATGAACTTTCCATTACTCCTGAAAAACAGTACATTCATATTGAAACTATTTAGATTTGGTACCAATACTGATACATATTTCTTAGTGAAATTCAGAATAGGTTAAGGAGGATATTGAGTTATTATAACAATTCTTGCAAGCTTTGAGAATGATGTGTAGGTATAGTTGCTCTGGTTGCATTACAGCATGTGTGAAATATGTCAATAAATTATCTACTAATTCATCAAAATTGGGCAATTCATCTGCGTACACTAGTGATGCATCTGGTTTCAGACCTTCCTAAACAGAGTTTACTGTCAAGGGATGCATCTGGTTTTATTGATGTAGCTTGAATTGCCCCTAATTTACAATTTGGTAGCTCTCACTCATGCCACAAACTCTAGAATGTTTACTGGCAACATTGAATCTATATTGCAGAACTGCTTAATGTTCTTACGAGACTTTGTGCACTGAGATTCTATTGAGTGCTATGCACTTAGTAATTTTTTCCCTATTTGTGTAATGTTTAAAGTTACAACCATTCATTTAGCTTATATTATGACGTTTCCTGAGATTTTGTGTTGTATATTTGCATTGGTTCTCTGAGGTGAATTAATAGAATTAACTATGCAGGAGGTCATTCATTTGTTCTTTTCACTTCTCTATGTGGAGAAACCATTTTTAATAGAATTTTGTTATCTTGTTAGATACACTGGTTCTGTGATTTAGAATCATTGAACTGAAGTAATCTTTATTATGAATTCTGCCTGGAGTCTCATGCTTTATGCATTATTCTTTGGCTGGAATGCATTAGTATTTTTCATATGGGACTTCAGAATTTCTGTTTCTTTCTATTCTGTGTCAATATTTTCTGTTTGCTGGTTTGTATGCTGCTATCTGCATGTGGATTCTGTGGAGTAATTGAATTCTTGACACATTAGCATTACTTATCTACATTGGATGCAGGTCCCACTTACTGCCACCAGTGAATCCCTCCCCGAGAGACCAGGAGAACCAGATTGTCCTGTAAGCAGTGCTTCAGAGTACTTTTTTCTTGCATGTTTCTTTAGGCACTATCAGTGCATTTAATTTATGTGCTCAATTGTCCCTTGAATATGTACCAGTACTTCGTGAAGACCCAAAGATGCAAGTTTGGTCTTAGATGCAAATTTAACCATCCAAAGGACAAAGCAGTGGCTTTGGTAGGTGCCACTGTCGTGGTGGTTGCTAATCCTGTTAATTTGTATGTTCTTTTACCAGTTGTGACTTGTTTTATAAAATCTAATATTTTGCTATTTTACTCTGATTACAGGATGCTCGGGAGAGTGCTGGCTTTTCCGACTTACCAGATAGGCCATCTGAGCCTCCTTGTGCGGTATGGTATTTGACTGTGTTTGTGGATACATTGCCTACATATTCTTCAGATATGAATATTATCCTGCTTTTCTGTTACATGTAAGCAGTTCTATATGAAGACTGGAAAATGTAAATTTGGTGCAACCTGCAAATTTCATCACCCAAAAGATATCGATTTAACAGCAGCTGGACAAGACAATGGCAATGATGGGCAGATTGAAGTAGTTATTAGTAATGATGGAACTGTAGAGGTGAATCCGATGAAGCCACCTTTTACCCCGGCATTATTTCACAACTCCAAAGGGCTTCCTATGAGACTGGTAATGTATACATTAGATAATGGTTAATAAACTGATGAATTCATTGATACCTATTGTTTTCCTTTATTTTGTGTTTTTATTGTTGCTGCATATGCACAGTCCAGTATATATTCAGTTTCTTTCTCATCAATCATGATCTGTTAAAAATAAAGCTTCTTTTTTTTGCCCTTTTTTTAAATTTTTTTTTTATAATATAATATTTTTCTGTTGTATGCATGTATATCCTCATATTTTGAACTTAAGATTCTTCTATCCAGGGGCAAACAGGTTGGTGAGGTAACTTGTGACCATTAACATGCTATAAGAGTTTGGACAACCCTAAAAAAACAAAAGGCTTGAAATAGGTTATAAGATAACATGTGCTTGAAATCATCAATTTGGCTGCCTACTGTGGTTTGACAAGCTTAAGCCATTGTGAATATTTTTATGCTGATCAAAATTTTGAGTTATAAAAATATGTGAGATGCAAACTACATGGAAACAATTTTAAAATTTTATTAAATAAATTGAATGTTATATTCTCATTTTGGCTTCTAGGGTTCCCAGACTAGTGAATTTTTGGCTGCCAAATTGCTGGTAGACTGGTTTTCTTTTGCTAATTTCTTTACTAATCTCCTTTTCCTAGTTAAATCTAACACTAGTCTATCAATTGCCCAGTCCTGTTCACTGATATGGTTTGTCTATGACAGGGTGAAGTGGATTGTCCATTCTACTTGAAAACTGGCAGGTGACTTTCGCCTCATCAACACAGAACGGGTGTCTGTTCATTCTCTTTTTCTTTGAGGCAGGGTTCTTATAGTTTTTTTTCTCTTTCTTTTTCTTGACATAAATCAGTTGCAAGTATGGTGCCACTTGTCGCTACAATCATCCTGACAGATATGGTAATTATAAATCTCAGGTGTTCTACTAGGATGCATGATGAGAATTTGTCAATAATTTGTTCAATACTTCATTTTTTCAGAATTTACCCCAAGTTTTTGTTTTTGCAGCAATTAATCCACCTGCTGCTGCAATAGGCCCTGCCATAATAGCTTCTCCTGCAGCACATTTGAACATCGGAGTTGTCAATCCAGCTGCCTCCATTCTGCAAACCATTGATCCGCGGCTGACTCAAACAACGGTAACTTGGAGATTGTTTGTGCATCTTAATGGTTTGATTTTCTATGAAAGACTATTGGACAGATGTCTATGTCATTTTCAGCTATGCCTATGGTGCATGAGAGCAAGAGGAAATTGTTATTTATTTTGATATTGAATCTCTTGCAAATGTTTTATTTTTTAATAGATGTTCTCAGTATGAACTAAGGCCAAGTTTGGGATGTTCCAAAAAAGCCAAAAAGTCAAAAAGTTACTCAAAAAGTTAAAAAGTTAACACTATTCACCAAAAGTCAACAATTACGGCTGCACAACTCCCAATTCAAATTTTTTCCTACAAATCAATTTTTACAATTTTTTATTACACATTTTTCAATAAAAAGTCAAAAAGTTAACCCAAACATCCATATTTTCAACTTCAATTTTTTAGTTCAAAAAGACAAAAAGTGCACTTATTTAGTCTTCCCAAACTTGGCCTAAATTTTATCATGAGTTTTTCAATTGTTTGGTTTGCCTCATGGGTTCTTTAAAAAGCTGTTGTATTTTCTCTTTTACCCATTGTTTTCAAATCTCAAATTGAATCGTGAATCGTTTTCTTAAAATAGTGAATTGTGAATCGTAAGATTCATTTGATATGATGTATGATTTTATTATATTCATTTATATTATATATATAAATTCACATAATATTTAAAATGAAGTAAATATCAATATAACCGAATTGTATATAAATCAAAACCAAACCAAACCAAACCAAACCAAACCGAGCCTTAAGTCTCATCAAATGGGGTCGGTTATATGAATCCTTCTTCTCCACCCGGCTCTATCAATGGTCATTTCGTTAGTCAAATTAAGTATATCCATACTTTTATTTACAACGCTAGCCAACGTTAATTTAGGCCTACTTGGTCTCCTAACACTTCCATCTATTATCATTGCTTTGCATCTCTTCACTATTACCTCTGTTGGTCTCCGTTGAATATGACCAAATTATCTCAATCGATTCTCTCTCAATTTATCTTCTATCAGTGTTGCTCCTACCCATTCTTGAATACACTCATTCCTAATTCTATCTTGTCTAGTCTTACCACACATTCACCTTAGTATCCTCATCTTAGCCACACTCATCTTATTTACATGTTGCTTCTTGGTTGCCTAACACTCCGTCTCATACAACATCGCTGGTCTAATAGCGTTTCTATAGAACTTACCTTTTAGTCTAGTGGGTATTAGTTTATCGTACAGTACTCCAGACGTTCTTCTCCACTTACACCATCTCGCCTTAATCCTATGGGCCACATCCACATCAATCTCCATTGTTGTAGTGATAATCGACTCTAAATAACGAAAATGTTCACTCTTGGACAGTTTTTGGTTCTCAATCTTCACTTCTCCTCTGCTTTCATTGTTACTGTTACTAAATTTACAATCCATATACTTTGTCTTAGTTCTGTTTATCCGGAATCCTTTAGATTTGAGTATTTTTCTCCAAATCTCCAACTTTATGTTAACTCCTTCTCTAGTCTCATTCACTAGCATGATATTGTTTGTAAAAAGCATACACCATGGCACGTCATCTTGAATATTTCTCATCAACTCATCCATAACTAAAGCAAAAAGATAAGGACTCAAGGTAGATCCTTGGTGTAACCCTACAATGATAGGAAATTCATTTGTCTCTCCAACAGACAATCTTATAGTAGTCACCACTCCTTCATACATGTCCCTAATCACATCAATGTAACATTTTGTCACCCCTTTCTTCTCTAACACTCACCATATTGTATCCCGAGTTACTCTATCATATGCTTTCTCAAGGTCGATAAACACCATATGAATGTTTCTTTTGTTTTCTCTATACTTTTCTATTACTCTCCTCAAAAGATAATTCGCTTCCATTGTTGACCTGACAGACATAAACTCAAATTGATTCTCTAAAACCTCTGTTATATTTCGTACTCGGCGTTCCATCACTCTTTCTCACACTTTTATTATATGACACATTAGCTTGATTCCTCTATAGTGGTTGCAATTCTGGACATCTCCCTTATTCTTACAGATTGACACTAAAATACTCTTCCTACACTCATCTGGCATGTTCCTAGTCAACAAAATTTTGCTAAACAACCTAGTCAACCAAGCAACACCCTTTTTAACTAAACACTTCCAAGCTTCAATAGGGATATCATCGGGTCCTAAAGCCTTATTTGATTTCATCTTCTTAAGTGCAATCTCTACTTCAAAGTTCCTAATCTTGTGATAGAACCTATAGTCTTGGTTTATCGTATTACTGGCTATTTCTTCTCCTATTGACGTACCTCCATGTTCCTCCTTTAATAGTTTCTTAAAATAGTTCTTCCATCTTTCCTTAATTTCTTCATCCTTCACCAATACCTTAGAATCCTCACTCTTGATGCACTTAACTTGATTAAAATTTCTTGGGTGTGTTTGGTTTGTGTTTGTAGAGTAGTTTTTGAGATGAAAAGTACAAAAACTTGTTTGGTTTGCCTTTTTTCAGAAATGATTTTGGAAAATTGTTTTGGGGAGAGAGTTTTAAAAAAAGTGATTGATTTGATGTGTATGAGAGAGTGATTTTAGAAAGTAGGTAACCAAACAAAATTTTGAGATTTTTTTTGAAAAAATTTGTTTGGTTTGATTATTTTTGAAAATTTGTTTGTAGAGAATTTTTTCCAAAAATTTTTCTGGAAAACAAACCAAACAAGGCCCTTATTTTCCTCTCCCGTATCTTAGCAAGTTTGTATTCCCTCCTCTCCTTCCTTATTATCTAGTCTAGTGTATAGGTCATCATAAGCTTTTAACTTAGCCTTTCTCACTACTTTCTTGACTTCCTTATTAGCCAATCTATAGCTCTTAAGATTTTTCTCAGTTCTATTCTTCTGTCACTTTTTAAAGCACTATTTTTTTGTCTTAATTACCACTTGAACCTTTTCCCTCCACCACCAAGTTTCCCTAGAGCTGGGTCCCGTTCCTTTCGACTCTCCAAACACTTCCTTGAGATTCTCCTCATACAATTAGCCATCGAGTTTCACATAGTGTTAGCATCATCTTCCAAGTCTCAAGTACCTTCCTTATCCATTCTATCTGTAAATATTGCTAGTTTATCCCCTTTTAGATCCCACCATCTCGTCCTACAACGCCCACCATTCTTCCTAGCTTGGTTTGCTCTTTAAAACATAAATTTAGTACCAAAATCCTATGTTGAGGTCAGATTCTCTCCAGGAATCACCTTACAATCATTGCATTTTAGGCGGTCCACTTTTCTCACTAAGAAATAATCTATTTGGCTCTTAACTAACTCACTCTTAAAAGTTATCAAATGCTCCTCCCTCTTCTTATACATAGTATTGACCACCACCAGGTCAGAAGCCAACGCAAGATTTAAGATACTCTCTCCAACCTCATTTCTGTCACCAAAACTGTATCTATCATTCACCCTTCCATAGCCTAGTTTATCTATGCCTACAGGGCTATTAAAATCTCCACATATAATTAGGTTATCTCCTACAGGTATTTCCTGTAAGATCTCATCTATTTGCTCCCAAAAATCCCTCTCAGTCTGATCATCTAATCCTGCTTGAGGGGCGTATGCACTAATAATGGTCGCTATATTCCCTCTAATAACTAGTTTAACTAACATAATCCTATCCCTTTTCCTAATGACCGCCACTACACTCTCCACAAGACCCTTGGCAATTATGATTCCTACCCCATTCCTGCGTCTATCCTTACCACTATAATACAGTTTAAAGTCGGTATCCTCAATTTCCCTAGCTTTCTCACCCGTTCACTTAGTTTCTTGTACGCAAACTATACTAACTCTCCTTCTAATCATAACATCTACTAATTTCATTGTCTTACCAGTTAAGGTTCCTATATTCCAAGTAGCTACCCTAAACCTATAGTCTTGGTTAGTTTCTTTACCCGCACTCGTCTAGAAAAACGCGAGAATCTTTGCCCATTTTTCACCGCACCTAGGCGTCGATATGGTGCCCCTTGCTTACTTTCGAATCACCCGGAGGCAGGTGCAATGCGTTACTTGAGGGGAACGACCTAGCATTTAAACGATTCAAAGTAGGATTCATTGTCATAAAGGATTCGAGAGGCTTTTTTATGTGTTGGTTGTCGGTTGCCTAACACACAATCCTCCTCCTTTACCCCGGGCTTGAGACCTGCGGAGTTGTTAACAACCCTGACGGAGTTATAACTTAATTGTATATATATACATATAAAATCACGTATGTCAATATACTTAATGGATCTCTTTTATATATCTTGATAGTTTGACAAAAATGACATTTAATGCATTATCTAAAAAAAATAGAAATAAAGTTGCAGTGTGATTTTCTGTGGAAGGAGGTGGGGATGAGTTTAGGTATCATCTGGTTAGTTGGGATCGGCTTTGTCGGTTGAAAGAGGTGGGGGGTTTGGGGGTGTGGAGATTGTGTTCTTTTAATGTAGTGTTTTTGGGGAAGTAGTGGTGGCATTTTGCGCTGGAAAGGGATCAATTGTGGCATTGGGTGGTGGCTGTTAAGTATGGGTTGTGGCAAGGTATTTGGTGGGGTAAGGGAGAGTTTTGGGAACTTGTTAAATTTTTGGTAGGTGTCGGGGTTAGGGTGCATTTTTGGAAAGATCAGTGGTGTGGTGAGGTTGCTTTGTAGTTTCGGTTCCCCTTGATATTTCGTCGTCTTGTGGATTCCAAAGTGGTTGTGGCATCTTATTTTAGTGGGGCTAGTGGTGCAGTGGTTTGGGATACTAGGTTGCGTCGGTAGGTTCAGGACTGTAAGATTGGGCAGTTGGAGGATTATTGAGTTTCCTTTATGGGGGGCAAGTTGGGGTTTTATCTGTTTTGTCTTATTATCGGGTCTTGAGTGGGGATGGGGATGAGGAGTTTCCTTGGCGGCGTGTTTGGATGCCAAGTGTTTCATCAAAGGTGGCTTTCTTTTTGTGGATAGTAGTTTTTGGAAGGATTCTTACTATTGATAATTTGGTATCATATTTTGATAAATTGATGTTGTATGTGTTGTGGTAACGCAGAGTCTGTGGATCATTTGCTCATTTATTGCCCGATGGCATCTTGTTTGTGGGCGTGCATTTTGTTGACTTTTGGATTTGTGTGGATCCAACTGAAAGGGGTGAGGGAGGTTATGTGAAGCTAGGAAGGGGGACGGATCGGGAAGAGGTGCCGGAAGGCTTGGGCTTTGGCCCCTTTATGGTTGATGTGATTGGTTTGGTTAGTGCGGAATCGACGTACTTTTCAAGGTGTTGCTTGTTCATTGCCATGTATAGAGAATAGATTTGTCCAAGTTTTGTATAGTTGGGTGTTTGGGCAGGTGGATCCGGATGTGTTTGTTTTCTTGGATTTTGTAGATGATTTGATTGATTAGGTGTCTACCCTCCTCTAGAGTTCTGGTTCTGCATTCTTTAGCATCTTCTTAATGCTTTTGGTGATAAATTTATTTATATAAAAAAAAAGGAACAAAATAAAGTTGAATCACAGTGAATCTCAATGAATCATAGTGAATAGCATGATTCACTCAATTTCCGATTCAACAGCACAATTCATATCGTTTTGTTGAAACTTGTATTGAATTGTATGAATTGAATCGTACGATTCTAACAACCATGCTTTTACCCATTTATGCCTCTTGGAACAATACATAACGATATTTGCCTGGTCAAGATGTTATGTTTCTCATTGTTATTACCTGCCATTTGTTCTCACTTTTCAGGTAACATTGTGTTTGTTATGAAATGAAAATGCTGAAAATTTTTGCTGAAGTACTCACAGATGTGTGTTTACCCTGCTGCAGTTTGGACTGGCCCCAACCATCTTTCCTCAACGACCTGGGCAGATTGAATGTGATGTGCGTATCTGTTTGATTTTTATGTTCTAGTGGTAAATAATGTCTGTTGAGTGGAGTAAGGGGCCTGTAAGGCATATCATGTTTCACTGGGTTAGATTTGGATTATCAACTGTTAGTTTTGGAATTGGCAGGGTCCGATTCGTTACTGAAGGAGTTTATTTAAAAATATTTTTCATGTAAACTGTGTTCTCCAATTCTTTCTTGTTATTCATCTTTTAACTAAAACCAAACCAAACTAAGCATTTGTCCCAATTAGGTGAGACTGGCTTCATGAATCATTTTTCGCCCTTCTGCTATATCAAGGGCTATATATGCTCAGTTAAATTAAATAAATTCATGTCTTTTTAACTGCAGGTTTTCATTGTACTTGACCAAACCACCTTAGCGTGTTTTCTCTTAACTTGCTTTTGATCATTTCACGAATATGTTCCTTTTTAATTCTGTCTTTCCTATGTTATCTTTCCCAATCTTACTATACATCTATTAAAGCATCCTCATATTGTTAGTTAACAACACTCATTTTATAAAAGTGTTTTTTCTTAGTTGCACAAAAGCTATCCCGAAATGCATTGTTGGCCTTATAGCTATTCTATAGAATTTTCTTTTCAATTTTGTTGATATTCACTAATCACATAATATGCCAAAAACACTCCTCCACTTGAGTCAGCCTACTTTGATTCTATGGATCTTATCATCTCCAACATCCAATTTCTCCATCCTTAATAATTGAACCTAGGTAACAAAAATATTAATTTCTAATAATCCTTTCTCCCCTTCTAACTGGAATTATTACATCATCTCATAGAAGACTTGGCTGAGTCATTCAAGGAATTTTACATAATATTATATTCATTAACTCTTGACTATCTGTGGGGTCAAGTGTTACTTTTTGTTGTTCTGTTGTAATCAAAATAATGTTGTCTAAAACTGCACTTTGCTGTTAACCATTTGCCTGCCTTGTCAACCAATTTGGATGTACTTCATGCATTCATCTATTTTCGAACATGAATTGAATCAAAAGTGATCCATTTACTAACTTATATATATTTGTGTCTACTTATTGTAGTTCTATATGAAAACTGGGGTGTGTAAGTTTGGGGAAAGATGCAAGTTTCATCACCCCATTGATCGGTCAGCACTCACTCTGTCAAAGGAAGCCCAGGAACAAAATGTTAAGCTCAGTCTTGCAGGCCTACCTAGGAGAGAGGTATGCACTATTTGTGTTTTTTTTTTTTTTTTGAATGAGATTGAGAAGATAGCCATGAATGTTGCATTCATAGGTGCAATCAATATCTGCAATAAATTAAAAGAATTGGTATTAAGTGGTTTTATCTCTTTCAATTTTCCTGGATCTGTATGTTCCTAAGAAGCATGGACACTTCTAAAAGGGTGGTGTGTCCGTGTCGGACATTGACACTCATTGGACACTTCCCGACACATGTCCAACATTCATCCAAACGTGTCTTATTTTGTTTAAAAAAATTTAAACTTAGACACTTGGAGGACACACGTGTCGATTGCTTGAACATACTTGTCCATTGATTAGACACACAGAATAAATTATAAGTTTGAACAAAATAATTTAGAATATGATAATCAAAGAAAAACAATGTCAATTTATAGAAATTAGTGTTATATTGCATTTATTTATTCTCTTTGAATGATATACTCGTATATATGACATAATAAATATATAAAATTATATATTATGTGCATGTCTTTCATGTGTAGTGTCCTGTATATTTTGAAAATTGCCATGTCAATGTGTCCGTGTTGTATCCGTGTCGTGTACTGTAATTTTTTAAAAATTGCGGTGTCAACGTGTCCATGCCGCTTAGGTATGTACCATTTTGTTGTCATGGGAAATAGTGGAAACACTTTTTGAGATCTGAATTCTTAAAATTGTAGTTTCCATGTAAACTAGTGTTGCATGATAAGCTAGAGTAAAGTATATTCACCCTTTGTTTCAGAGGCATTTTTTGGGCAGACTTTTGCTTTGAATTTGCGTAAGTTGTGAAGATAGATTGCGTTCGGTCACCTTTTTGAGTAAGAATTACAGTATTAACAGGCAAGTGCTTGGCAACAGCCCAGTGAACTGGGCAGGCACTAGATAAATGGGAGGCACAGGATAAACAAACCCACCCGATGGACTGCCAAAAAAGGCATCACAAATTAGAATGTATGATCAAAGGCATCTTGGTTTGGCAACTTTTAAAGGAGCTTTGTATCATAGTTGTTAAAATTGCGATCCAAAAAAATCAAAATCGATCTGGATAGCATTTAAATTGTTGTAGAGTAGGATCTCATTAGGATGGTTAGGATCTTCAATTGAGTCATAGGATCGTGCAATCCTTCGATTAAAATTGTTTTGGGGAATTTTTCTGAATCTTTCCAATTTATTACACTAAATAAACTAATTTTGGTTTTTGCCACAAAATTTTACATAGTTGAGGAGGTCATTGTTAATGACATTTTGCATTGAGTTCTCCAACAAGGCATCTTCTATGTTTCGAAATACTAGTAGGGGTTGTGTTGTTGCGGCAGGGTTGGGTTGCGTTGTTAATTAGTTTATTATATACTTTTGGTAAGTTCACCCTCGTCAACTAACTATATATATAGCATTTGAAATGTCTGTTTCATTTAATAGATATTAACAATTTCTTTGGCAATGGTTCTTATGCTGATACAATGTGTCTTTTTTTTTTTTTTTTTTTAAATTCATACTGTAGGCATGTAAGATCACCTTTATCAATACAAACTATCGTCTTCGGTAAATTTACCAAAGTATTCCTCCTATTCAACTAATTTAACCATTTCCAATCACCTTATAGCATTTTCAGAGCATCTGGAGATTCGATCATTTATGTATGATTTGATTTCTCTTACACTGCCCCTTGCTTATTTATTCTGTGTTTACTTTTTCTTCCAGTCGCTTTTTCTTCCTCCTTTTTTGTCTGGAAAGTGCTTTATGGATCTTATTTCCAATTGAGAACCAACGCGTTGGTTAGAAATGCAGTGTCACAAGTACATGTTTGCTTTTTGTCCAATAAAATCCCTGAAGAGAACTTATTTGTCTGCTGTACTCCTGTTAGGTTATTGTGAAAGTCATACCTATCTGTGTTCATTGTTAGGTACCTTTTTCTTCATCTGGGATGTCATCTGATGCTCATTCATACTTTGATAAATGTAAATGTAAACTAGATTTACATCTCATAAATATAACAAATACCTAGAATAACTTAATCACAATCTGATTACCAACTATAAATCATATCGCAAGGCTTGAAATAAGATCCAATTACCAAATGAGGCATTAGCTTCTCCCACTGAACGCCTGTCACTACTTTTTATCTTATGTAGTGTGTTGCCCACAATCTTCAATCCTGCAACAACAAAACGCAAAATAATAATAAGGTCAAAATTCATTTAACCCCCCTTGTGGTTTGAGCTCTTGAGCACTTTACCCCCCTATAATTCAAATATTTGCGAAGAGACTGAAACTGCAATTGTTATATTTTCCATCCAAATTGACGGAAGGTGGAATACACTTGCCAATTTTGAGAGTGGGCACGCATTTTTTTTTTTTTTGAAATTAAAGTGAAATCAAAATGGAGAAAGTCATTTCTACTCTTCATCATCATCATTATCATCTTCTATCTTTTAACCCTAACCCTAATCCTTACCCCTTCCACCACCACCCAACCATCTCCCTCACCTCCACCGTCTCCCTCCTCACCTACCTTGCTCAGCATCCTGACTTCTTCCCCCACCTCCCCGGGACGTCGTCCCGTCCCGGCTGCCCAATCCCTTCTTCATCGTGACTTTCTGTGGCTTCAATTGGGCTGATAAGCCCTATGCTCTTAATCAACATAGTGAATCATGGATACCAGGCAGCAACAAAAGATTTGGAACAAGATTTGGGCTAAGCAAATTTCAAATGCTTTATGGAAGAAGATTTGAAACACGATTTAAGCATTAAGAATTTCAGATTTGTGAAATCCAATAGCCTGTATACATGTGTGTATATATATATGAAGAACTTAACCTCTGCTATATATATGCATACAAATGTATATGCCTGTGTTTATATATGTATAAATATGAACTTAAGTAATTAAATTATAAATGAAATTAAAATGTTAGACATTAGGAAAAATAATTTTTTGTTAATTGGACTCTGTTAAAAACAAAGAACGGTGTATCTATTATGGGATCAGTCATGGATTCATGGCTCCTACTGGGAAAGTGATTGTGTTCTACCATGAGGAAAATGACTGGTAATTCACTTGGCTTGGCATTCAATTCCTCTTTACTAGTTTGATTTAATTATATATATATATATATATTGTTAGAATAATATATGATTATTTGGGTTATTATTTTGTAATTATTTTATGCTTTAGGGCTTCCTTGTAATTATTAATCTTCATTAATATAAATAGGGGATGATATCCTAATCATTCCCTAATCTTAGTATTTTCTAAATCTATCATGGCATTAGAGCCAAACCCTAAACCCTGAACCCATTTTCCCTAAACAGTTCTATTACTCACCGGAGCTAGCCGGAGACAACCCACTTCATTCAACTGGGTGTTAATGGTCCCCTAGGGGTGCGGAACATACCTGGGTCTCTCGCAGCTTCCTCGCCAATTGTCCTCTTTGTGATCGACTTCAACTTCTCCTCCATAGTAGCATCGCCGATAGCCCTCCTGGCCTAGTCGACTGCCACCGATGGCCGTCCTAGCCTAGTCTACCGCCACTGACAGCCCTCCTAGCCTAGTTGACTACTACCGACAGCCCGTTGGCTTCCTACACCTCTGGTGGCCTTTTCCCCTCGTCTCTCTCTCTCTGGTTTCGTTTTCTGGTTTTGTTTGTTTTGTATATATCAATGTTTGATTTGGTCCAGTGTTGAACAATGCTTCTCTGAACCCCCCCTCCCCCCCCAAAAAAAAAAGTATGAATTTTTAATTCTTTAGTAGTCGTTGTGTTTGTTTTTCCCTTTCACCACCACCTTCTGGGTTTGTGATTGGCACCAGTTTTGTTGAGGGTTCGGTAGTATAATATTTATGGCAGATTCCACTAGTGTGTCGATACCTAAGAGTGAGAGTTCCATTGTACCTACTACTATGACTGATAACCCCAACCCCAGTATTAAAATCAACACCTCTCCATTCAATGGTCAAAACTATCTAGCGTGGTCGCGGAGTTTGACTATGTTTTTGAAGAGCAAAGGGAAGATGGGGTATGTTGATGGCAAGATACAGGCGTCCAGCACCATTGACCTAGGTTATGACCAATAGGAGATTACCAACTCTTTGATTATGGGTTAGCTTATTCATTCGATGGTACAAGACATTGGCGAGGGCTACTTGTCTATGAAGACTGCCCAGGATGTTTGGGATGTTGTGGCTACTACCTATTCTCACAAAGGGAATTTCTCCCAGGCATTTGAGTTACGCCGCTCTATTGAGAGCTCTGTTCAGGGTGAGCAGATGCTTCTTCAGTACTTCATCTTCCTCACTAATGGTTGGAAACGCCCTGATCACCTGCAGGATTATAAGCCTGTTTGCACTGTTGATTCCGTCGGGTACAGGAAGTTCATTGCACAGGAAGGGTCTTCAAGTTTCTGGCCGGTCTCAATGTGGAGTATGATCCAGTTCGGAGTCGGGTTCTGAGTATGGACACTCTTCCTTCACTTCAGGAGGCATTTGCCTATGTACATAATGAGGAAAGTCGTCGGTCTGCTATGATGTCCCCTGTCTCTACTGACCGCTCAGCATTACTGTCTACCTCTCGAGATGGCCTCAGCCTGACTTCCATCCTTCCGTCTGCCGCTAAGGAGTCTGTATTCTGTGATTACTATAAGAAGCCGCGGCATACTCGCGAGACGTGTTGGAAGTTTCATGAGACTCCATCCGGGGGTCGAAGTGATCGGTCTGGTTCTAGAGGAGGTCGGTCAGGCTAGTCTAGAGGATGTGGCTCCTATCCCCAGGCTCATCAGTCTAGTGCCGTTGATACACTTGATTCTAATTCTGCTTCCGTTGGCCAAGCTTCTGATGATCTCTCTGGCATGACTACTCATGAGCTTGAGGATGTTCTGCGTCAATTGCTGGACCGCCGGTCTTCTACTGCTCTTAGTACATCTTCCTCGTCATTTGCCCGCTCGGGTAACTTAGTCTCTTCTCCTTGTGTTTTCTTGTCTCATAAGTCTTTGCCTTGGATTATTGATTCTGGTGCCTCAGATCATGTGTCTGGCTCCTCTGTTCTTTTCTCTGCCTATAAGCTCTCTTCATGTCAGGACAAAGTTAGGATTGCAGATGGTACTGTTTCTTCTATTTCTCGGAAAGGTTTAGTCCATGTCACTCATGCTTTACCTCTCTCTTCCGTTCTCCATGTTTCTAATTTTTTTGTTAACCTGCTATCCTTGAGTCGTATTACAAATGATTTGAATTGTACTGTGACATTTTTCCTGATCATTGTCTTTTTCAGTACCTTGTCATGAGGACGACCATTGGCTATGGTAGTGCAGAAAATAGTCTTTACTTCCTGGATCAACCGGACAAGCTTGCTCATTCTTCCACCATGCGTCCTACTACCACCGATGATATATGGCTGTGGCATCGGCGTCTTGGGCATCCTTCTTTTTATTTACTAAAACATTTATTTCCATTTGTTTTTTAAAACAATAATGTGTCTGAATTTCTTTGTGAGTCTTTTCAGCTTGGCAAACAATACATAGCTTCTTTTGCTCTCAGTTTTAATAAAAGTTTAGTTCCTTTTTCATTAATACATTTTGATGTCTGGGGTCCATCTCATGTTGTGTCTGTAAAAGATTATCGTTGGTTTGTTACATTTATTGATGATTTTTCTCGTACTACTTGGGTGTATCTCATGAAAGACAAGAGTGAGGTTTTCTCTGTGTTTCGCAATTTTCATAAGATGATTTGTACTTAGTTTGGGGCCACTGTCAAAATATTTCGTTCTGATAATGGGGGTGAATACATAGATTCTGGGTTAGGGCAATATTTTTCTACTGATAACATTATCCATCAGACCTCTTGCACAAATACCCCTTAACAAAATGGGGTGGCGGAACGTAAGAATCACCATCTTCTTGACATGGCTTGGTGCATGTGTTTGTCTATGAGTGTGCTTTGGTTCTTCTGGGGCGACGCTGTTCTCACCGCTGCCTATCTTATTAATCATCTTCCTACTCAGGTCTTGCAGAAACAAGCTCATCTTCAAGTCCTCATAAGTTCCCCATTATTGTTTTCTATTCCTCCTAAAATATTTGGATGTGTCTGCTTTGTCCATAATCACTCTTCTACTTATGGTAAGTTGAACCCTCGCTCTCTCAAATGTGTTTTCCTTAGGTACTCTCCTACTAAAAAAAGATATAAGTGTTACCACCCTCCTTCTCGTAAGTTGTTTGCGTCCGTGGATGTCACATTCTTTGAGTCCCAATCCTATTTCTTGTCCTCTCTGATGTCACAGTCCTCCCTTTAGGGGGAGCCTTGGTGTAAAGTGATTCTTGTGATTCTTGTGGTGGAATTAGTTGTTCTTGCACCACCTTCTCATACTGGGACTGTAGAACCCAATGTCACCAAGGATAGGGAAGGGCAAGTTTATGTCAGCGACAAAGACAGACAGAAAGTTAACTGGATACAAGAGTCCACTTCTGCTCCTTCACTGTCATCTCCTGCTTATGATGAGAGTCTAGGTAACTTTGAATCTCTTGAGTCCATTGATCTTGATGTTTCGATTACCAAGAGAAAGGATGTGAGGTCTTGTACTCAACGTCTTATCTCAAATGTTGTGTCCTACTCTCATTTGTTGTCCTCATATAGAGCATTTGTGTCTAATATTTCCTCTGTTAGCATTCCTAACCATTTTCAGAATGCTCTTGCTACCTCTGAGTGGAAATTTGCCAATGATTGAGGAAATAAAAGCACTTAGGAAGAATGGTACTTAGGAATTGACTGAGTTACCTAAGGGTGAACGACCTGTGGGATACAAATGGGTGTATACTGTGAAACACAAAGCGGATGGTTCTATTAAGCGTTACAAGGCTAGACTTGTGGCAAAAGAGTTCACTCTGACGTATGGCGTTTACTATCAGGAGACCTTTGCACCTGTGGCTAAGATGAATTCAGTCAGAGTGTTTCTCTCTTTAGCAGCTAATCTAGATTGGCCAATTCATCAGTTTGATGTAAAGAATGTTTTTCTCCATAGTGAACTCAAAGAAGAGGTATATATGGACATTCCTCGTGGTTTTGAGGATCATTAGACAGAAGGCAAAGTATGTAGGCTTCGGAAGTCATTATATGGTCTCAAATAGTCTCCGAAAGCTTGGTTTGAGAGATCCACTCAGGCTATGCTTAAATATGGCTTCAAGCAGAGTCAAGCAGATCACACCTTGTTTGTGAAACATTCCTCACTTGGTAAGACTACAACACTCATTGTTTATGTAGATGACATAGTTCTTACGGGTGATGATAGTGAGGGAATTCCTCTGTTGAAGAAATATTTAGCCATTGAGTTTGAAATCAATGACTTGGGGAGCTTGAAGTATTTTCTGGGAATTGAAGTTGCTCGCTCCAAGGATGCGATATTTATCTCACAGAGGAAGTATGTGCTTGATCTGTTGAACTGCAAGGCCTGTGACACTCCACTAGAACTTAATCAGAAACTGGGAGATGATGAAGGGGGAGCAGCTGTTGACAGGGGGAGCTATCAGCAATTAGTGGGTAAACTCATTTACCTATCTCACTCTCGTCCTGATATTGCTGTTGCTGTCAGTGTGGTTAGCCAGTTTATGCATGCTCCACATCAAATTCACTTCAAGGCTGTCATGAGAATTTTGAGGTACTTGAAGTCTGCTCCTGGTAAGGGTCTGTATTTTTCAAGATATGATCATCTTCGTGTGGAAGCCTATACAGATGCTGACTAGGCTGGATCAATGACTGATAGGAGATTAACTTCAGGGTATTGCACCGTTGTTGGAGGCAACCTAGTTACTTGGAGGAATAAGAAACAGAATATGGTTGCCTAGTCAAGTGCAGAAAATGAGTTTAGAGCTATGTCACAAGGATTGTGTGAGCTCTTATGGATCAAGTTATTGTTGAGTGATCTAGGTATTGATTAGACGTACTCCATGTGATTATACTGTGATAATAAGGCCGTTATCAACATCGCTCACAATCCGGTTCAATATGACAGGATAAAGCATGTTGAGATTGATCGCCACTTCATTAAAGAGAAACTCACTAGTGACACAATATGTACTCCTTTTGTGCAGTCTGGCGAACAACTTGTTAGCATCCTCACCAAGGGAGTTGAGAGTAAGCCATTTCATGACATCTTAGACAAGCTGGGCATGAGAGATGTCTTCGCACCAGCTTGAGGGGGAGTGTTAGAATAATATATGATTATTTTGGTTATTATTTTGTAATTATTTTATGCCTTAGGGTTTCCTTGTAATTATTAATCTTTATTAATATAAATAGGGGATGATATCCTAATCATTCCCTAATCTTGGTATTTTCTAAATCTATCATATATATGTCAGTGTGCTGATTAGTTTTGGGATTGGAGATTGGGTTATAGATGCAGAGATGATTGAGCAAAGAGTCCAGTTGATGTGGATTTGATGCGTTGTATTGTAATCAGAATTAGAGGTGTAAAACAAAGGGCATTATCGTCTTTCTATCACTAACGTTAACGGAGTCAGTGTTGTAGTTTGGTCCAAAACCACAAGGTGTCTCTTTGCATATATTTGAACTATAGGGGGATAAAGTGCTCCGGGCTCAAACCATAACGGGGTTAAATGAATTTTGCCCTAATAATAATAATAGTAAGTGTTATATGTTAGCTAGGGTTTGACAAAATCTTACATAGTTGTGGAGGGGATTATTAAGGACAATTTTGCATTGAGTGCTCCAACATGGTGTTTTCTATGTTTTGAAATATCTGATCTTGACTCTTGTCGAATTTGTGATTTAGGGGATTGAATTTTACATCTCTCAAACTTTTTATGCATGTTGTATATTTGCTGCTATATAGGATTCATTTAGTTTGGGTGGATCATTTTGACAGGGTTCTGTGCACTGTCCTTACTATATGAAGACTGGCACATGCAAGTATGGTGCAACATGCAGATTTGACCACCCACCTCCAGGGGAGGTCATGGCTTTGGCAACATCACAAGAAACATCCACATCCGTTGGAGGGGAAGTGACCGCTCAAGAACTGCAGCAGTGAAATCTTTTGCATGAATGGCGCCCCTCTTTAAATTATGCTATATGCTTATGGACCTTACTTTTAATATAGCAAATTACTGTCCTACTCCACAAATGTTCTATTGCCAAAATTGATACTACTTTCTTGCATTGGTTGTGTTTCTTTGAAGAGAGCTGGTACTAAAATTGCTATTGTTATGCTTGGATCCTGTTGGAGATTGAAGTTGGTGTCATGCAATTTACTTTTTACCTTTTTATTGAACTAATATTAACTTTAGCAACATAAATTGTGAAAAAGATGTTTTGGCAGGCAGGCAGGCAAAAAACAACGCCCTTAGCCATCCAATTCATCAGTGCACGCATATCTTAACTGCATTATGGACAGACAAGACTGAAGTTAAGGGGGACTGAAGTTATGGCACTTGCTTGTTAGTGCTCCAGCATCCATCCTTACTGCATAATACCTTTATTTTATTTATAGAATCGACCATAGAAAAGTCACTACAGTAGGGGGGCCACAATGCTATAGGATGATATCTGTGGTTTATTTTGTTGCCATGAAGAATGGCTAAAGTGGAAGACTTTTGTAGCGGCCCAATTGTTGTGGATACAACTCCAACCCATTTACTCAACCAAGCCCCCATTACAACATGTCCCCCTAAATTGTATATCAGCATTTGACAGGCATCACACTTGCATCAAGAAGCCTTTACACATACTATCAGGGCATCTTGGTAAAAGTACACTCTGATAGTGTAAAATACCAAAACTAGCTCAAGAAAGACAATTTTGGAGGAGGAAAAGAGTGGCAAAAACGTAAACCAACAACCAACATACCGAACCAGCTACGAAGATTGGATGATGAAAAAGTTTCCACAGGAAATTCAAAAACCAAACAGCACTTGATGAGGCGGGAACAACAAGAGTGTTCTCTTTTGAAAACAAGAGGGATTTGGATACGTGCACCCCCAACATTTAGCAATCACTGTTGTATGTATCCATTCAAGATAATTAGAGACCATGATTTTTCAAATCAAAGCATACTACCAAGTTTTTTAGAAGATCTGAAGGTGAAGTCTTTGGTGTCCATTCACTCAGATCAGATGTTCCCATGGTGGATGCTAACAACCATGTATCTTACCTTCTCTTTGTTTGCATGCTACTCTCTCTGAGAGGTGGAATGGCAAACCTAGTGTTAAGTTGATGTTGTAGGCTTCGCATTCACTTGATAATTAAAGAGAGAAAGTTCTCTTTAGACCTTTGAGAATCCACTCCCTTCCCTCCTTTACGTTGTCAACCAAACACTCCAAGTGGTTTAGAATCGATTAGACCAATTATGATTCGTTTATGAACAACGATCTTTTGATTTGGGACTACCAGAATGTTGGAAAAGAGTTTCATTCTCAGCTCTACACCGAGCAAAAGGTGATTATCAAAAGATGAAAAAGTTTAAGGTCTTGCTACATTAGTGGACATGAATCAATAAAGAGTCATTCAAGGTGTGTGTTGCCATATGACATGCTCTCTTACATGGATCCACTGAAAATAGCTTAAATCAAAGATAACCTACACGAGGATTTCAATTTTGAATTGGAATCTGTTATGTGTGCCATCTAAGATATGGAGTTTGACATCATGGTCAACAAGCCAGTAAGAACTGATGATGCAAAAGAGCCAGCAGACCTATTCCCAATGCAGGAAGATCAAAGCATGGCAGTGCCCTATTCTGTAGATATTAGGATGGATACTCATGTAACCGTTCTTCTTCCTAGTATCCTTATAGAAGGGGCCGGTTTCTGTGCTATATGAAGTGATTCTAGAATGGATGCTTCTTCAAAGCAAGAGGATGATAGTGGTAAGGATATATGTCAAGGCAGTAGCAGCTAGTCTAGAGCAAGCGCCAAGGAAGGGTCTAACCTCAAAAAGCCAATGAAGAGGAAGAAAAATGTTATTATAGGCAGGAATTTCCTTATCATCAATTGTGATTTTCATGAAGCTTGAAA